CCTCCAAGGCATTTCGTCAGCTTTCCCTGACAGTGTACTGGTACCCATTCCTGCTCCTGGATAGAGAGAGGCACTGTGAGAGCAAAATGTTTTGCCCAAGAACACAATAGGTGTTGACCTCAATGAAATCCCTGTAGGTCTGAAATGTTCCTCATTACATTTCCAGATACAAGGAGAACGGTAATATTGGAATGTCCATTATGGATATTGGAATTTTGACTGGATTTAAACCCGATCAGAACTCATTGAATAAGGTAAGTTGATGCCGACTTCGCGATCTACAAAATCGTTAAAAAACTTTTAGCTTGCTCAATATGAATGTAGTAGTTTATATATTTTATCCTTCCTTGCGTTTATGTTACTTATGCATTTGTCATTTTTGTTATTACTCTTCTGTTTACTTTTATTTGGTTGTCGTGGTCGCCACTGCCCTATTCGTTTTTTGATTAATTGTCTCCATTGCATTGTTGTTGTTGTTGTCGATGTTGTTGTGAACGAGTTTGTTTCAAACTTGGTTCGCAAAACTTTCATCGTTGTGACAGCGACATCACTAAACCTCAGAAGATCGAAAATCGTTAGAAAAAGGGCACAAGGAAACGATACAGAGGAGAGGGAAGGGCTTTTTCTGTTCAACTTTTCATAAAACCTAATTTAGAGGAAGAAGTGCATCATTTTGAATTAACATTTTTGTTGCTTTCTTTCCTTTTTAACAGTTGAAGGATATGGGTGAAGTGGATAAACTTGAGGTTTCACACACCTCACTGGTTGTTTACCTCAGTGAGGTAAGATATTTAGATCAGTAAATATAAACTCTACGAGCAGAAGTCGTTTGAATGAAATCAGAAATAGAAGCACAGGTGTTCCCTTATAACAACTAAAATACTACGAGGCACGGGGAGAAAGTCTCCTTTGAGCCCGTGACCATAGGTTCTCGTGCGCGCAGACGACATCGACGTGACCATGTTACAATGTGGTCTTCACCCTTGTTGTTCATTAGAAATCGTGTGTCATCCAGTTTTCGTGTATCACTGATGTTAACGTTAACTGGAAGTGATCCTCGTTACACTGGAGGTTTCATGGTCGTTCTTTATTGCAGATTCGCAATGACCGTCCTCTGTGTGTAGATGTTCGGTTTGATAGAGAATATTATGTGGGAGTCGTGCAAGCGGTACCGGTGAATGTATACGACTACTACGAACCAGGTCAGAGTTTATTTACATCTTAAATGAAACTGATATAAAGGATATGTGTACTGCTTTGTTGAATGTCAGGCCGGTACGAGCGAAAAAAAGGTTCACAAGAGGCCAATGACAAATCAGATAAAGAACGAGGTTCCTGTGGGCCCCGGTTGTTCGAGGGTTGGATAACGCAATCCACTTGACAAATCTCTATCTGGTGGATACCACAGAACGTTTTGTTAACACTTATCCGCTGGATAGCGATTTATTCCAAGGATAGATTTATCTGTCCTTTGAACAACTGGGTCCTGATGTTTTGGTCTGGTTCATTTCTGTTCTGTTGTCATTGTCGAGAGGGTACGTACTCGGAGAAATTAGTGATGTTTAAGTTACTCTTAATTCTGAGGGTAGTTAAGTAAATATTTGTATTCTTAATAGTGTTTTTTTCTCTTTTTTTTCATGACTACAGATCAATCTTGCGGCAAGTTTTATGGACCTGACAAGCACAGCCCGTTACAGTTAGGAGTTTGTGAACTTGGCTCGAGATCGTGCAAATGCACCCAAGGTGAGGGTTATTTGAGGGTAGTTTATTTATAACTGTTTGAATGATTTCGCTAACATTTAGGTTTGATGACATTTGGCTGTTTAACTCCAAAGAATGACTAGCATCTAATTTCTCCTTACAATATCACCCGTGAATCACCAACTAAAGAAGCTCTTGATTTCAAACAAATTCTCCTTGTCAGCACTTAAGGAAATGTATAGAAAACAGTATGGAGAATGTACATACTGATGTTAGGGTACCTAGAGTTAGAGTGTTGCTTGAGTCTGTTAGGGAGACTTCCCCAATAACTCAGTATCAAACCAAGCAGTCATTCAAGTAGGGTGTTCAACTTACTCACTGGTGTAATTTTATTTCCCTACTCCAGATGAATGTGCTCAAGAAGATCCTCCTATTGGCAATGTGGACAAGCTGATTGATGACGCTTGTCGCAATTACAATTACGGTAAGATCGCCACTCCTTTTTAATTCGAGGCGTAATACCTGCTAGTATGATTTGGTATAAATCTACTATCGTTCTATCCCAAATGCTGGAATCTGATTGGCTACGCTATTCGCTATCTATTCCGTGATATACAGTGAGAAGAGTAAGTAGCCTTAGCATTGTGTGGTTGTAAACAAAATAAAATAAAACACGAGCCTTTCCTGTTGTTAAATTTTGAACGGCTAGTAGACTTAAACTAAAACAATAAGATTATTAGCTCCCGATTTCTATGCGTGACAATTTATTCGGTCCTCAACAACAATCACACGATGGAAATCTCGAGCTCACAGTCTTGTGGTTAGATAACACTCAGTTCTCAATCGTTAGGTTTGAATTGGTGTAAAATACGGGACACAATCATGTACTTTATGCTATTGTGCTCTGAAACGATCAATAGACAAGATGTCTGAGCATTGTGTAGTGGCTTGCGGTGCGAAACTCAAAACGTCACAGAATCTGCCTCCTGTATTAGGACTGTATTAGTGAACGCCGGCAAGCTTTAAGAATAATCAGAGACAGCCAAACCTTGCCAGGGTGGGGCCAGTCGGGAGGGCAACCAGCAACATTTATGAGGAAGCACCTTAGTCGCTTTATGGTACAAACGTCGGAATGAGCCTAGGAAAGCGGATAATGAACACCAATTAAAGAGTTTAAAAGCCGGGAAAGGAATTTAATCTGTTGCTGCTAAGCTAACACTACGATAATTTACTTGCAGTTATAAAAGGAAAGGTTTTGTTGATCGATGAAGAAGGTAGTATGCTCAGCTACGTAGTCGAGGTTTTGCAAGTTATTCAACAAGGCCACAAGGACTTAAAGGTTAAAGAGAGGATCGAGCTTAAGAAACGTGGATCGTGCCAGAGTCCCGATATGAAGGAAGATAAAGAGTATTTGATCATGGGATTGGATAAAGGAGGCAGGTATCAGCTGGACAAGACCGCGTTTGTTAAACTGTGGCCAGAGAAGCGTAATCTCAACAAGGACATCTTGGAAGATTTTGCTCAAAGATATGCCTGTCCTTAGTTTTTTTATCGATTTTTGCCATTTTGATTTGTTTTCCGCACATTTTGCTAGCTTGCTAAACTTGCACATTTTATTAGTTCCCAATTGCTGCAAGCAGCATAAATAGAGAAGTTTACTTGATGCAGTTGCCTTAGTTTTGCAGACTAAATAAGTTTCTTGCTGGCGTTAACAAGTGAGTTATTTTTAAGCATAAAAAACCTTCAAAGGTATACGTAGTTTGTATTTAGTTTCAATGAGCAATAGCAGATAATTTGGCCGATTTCATGTTCATTTATACGTCTTGGAAGCAGCTGAAACGAAGAAAACTAGAAAGAGTTTCATAAGATGTTTTTTATCATTATTTCTAGAGAAATTATTTGGGAATATAACAAATATTTTAAATCAAACCTGTCTAGTAAAGAAAGCGGGTTTTATTTGAGATTCTTAATGCCCCAAGAAGTGTAGAGAAATCAAACAGACAAACAAAAAGAGAGAAATAGAAAACTATTTGGCCAGTATCCAGCTATTTGACTTTTTCATAATTAGTCGATAACGCATAACTTCATTAAGGAAAATATTAGTTTTGAAATGTTGAATAAACTAAGTGCATTAATTCTTACCATAGTTTATTTTGTCTTATCGGAAGCAAATGACACAAAAAAGGGTCTAAGGGGGGATCTTTTTGGTCATCCTGCCCAGAGCTGGGAGCCAACGATTCATCTAGTTTGTCTGTTGGATTTCGACTTTTTACGGAGAGTGTCGTCTAATTTCTCCAACATTACAATTTCTAACATACAGGCAGTTTCTTGGGGTAATTTTCGTTTTCAGGATTGTCCCGCGGTCTACCGGTTTTGCCCCTTAGTTCTTCGTTTCCCTTCCTCCCCCCTTTTTTTGCGGAATTTCAACAGCCCATGTAGAGTTTTAACATATGGCATATGTTGGCTTACGCTCGGCAAAAAATGGAAATAGATTGATATACCGCCTTTTCACGCAAGATTTCTCGCAGAAAATATTAGAGGGGACCTTTTCCGGCGACTTTAAAAAGTTAAAAAATCGGGCAGACAGTGTTACGTGTCATCTTCATCATCATCAGGGCTAAATTCACTCGGAGGAACCCCTCCCTGGAATGATCCCACAGGTATCTGACTTTAGCCAATCTCGACCATGCAGGTCCCAGCTGTCTGGATAAGCATAATGAGTAAAATCTTTTTGAAATCGGATAGCGACTGCAGTACTGCTGCACGTTGTTATACAGCTGTCTCGAGAAAGGTTGTCAGAAAAAAAGCATAAAAAAACTGCACGCGCGCGACAATCTCGAAAGGTCCTGTGGGTAGTTTTCAGGTCTCAAGATTTCAAAGAAATCTGAGGAAAAGTCAATGTCAGGACAGGCATCGCGGGGTTGATAGATCTATTTAATTAATTGATTTATTTAACTTATCAAAATTCATTGATTACCGGATACCTTTCGAGATTGTTGCGTTCACTTTTTTCCTTTTTTCTAACAACCTCTCTCGAAACGTTGTATACAGGAAGTTTAGTCTTTAAAGAATCGCTTTACTTAGGAACGTTTTACTGACGTGTGTTTTACCATTGACTTTATCAGTACCTAGTTATAAGGTACCTTATAACTAGGTTATGTGCTTTTGCTACAGATTGGTCAACACCATCAGCCGGAGATGAAAACCACAAATAATCAGAACATTTAGACAAGAAACGAGAGAAGTAACCGTAGTTCTGATAAACTTCATCCCAAGAGCGACTTTCCTTTTTAATAAGTATAGGTAATCGCATGGGGCCGAGTAAAATTAAGGAATAATATCACGCGTGTTTTCGGAAGTTGCTGAAATTACCCGAGTCGCGCAGCGACGAGGGCAATTTCAGTAATATTAATTCTTAATTTTACGAGGAACCATGTGATTACTTGTTTATAATATAAGGGGCAAAATGTTTTCTTACTGATCTCGCGCAAAACGGGAAACAAACAGAAATTTCTTTACCTTGGCAGCCGTTGCCAAGCGATTTTCAGCCAGTCATTTTCAAGTAATTTTTCCCGGGGCAATTACAAAAATTAAGAAGAAAAAATGCCCTCTGTCTTGACCAATCACAATTCAGTAATTTGCCCCTTATATGATAAATCAAGTAAGCAACACAAAACGTACCTATTTTTCCCGGCCGAGATTGAGAAGGGTACTGGGAACCACATGTCCTGCTATTCAACATAGCGTGTTCTGTTTTCGGAAGAGCTGTTAGTGTGTTTACTTCGCGCGTTTTTGTTCGCTACTGGCGACGTTTCATCGTAGGAATAACTGTTTTCTTTGGTACATTTAACAACCACTTGACGGGACAACATCCTGAAATGATGGAGATTTAAATATCGTATAAACGTCTCCATGCGGTAAGCTTAAACTGATTTTTGCATAATGTTTCTCTTTGTGTGTACGATTTTTTTCCTTTTTTGCGGCCAAATTCGATTGTGTTTGGTCTTCAAATGCTGTATGCTTTAGATTTTAAGAGCTTAAAATTTTTATTTTAGGGCAACGACAAAACACTGAATGACCCAGGCCACTTACTAGTACTGACCCACTCTTATTCCGAGTTTACATTTATAAGGAATTCCTAAGAAATCACATTTACTTCTAATATGCTAACTGTTACATTTCCACTATAATCCAATGAGTTTTTGTATATCACCTTGGCACTCTATGATCACTTTAAGTGTTAAACCGCAAGTGGACTGTCTTACTCTGCTGAACAGATCTTGAACTGTGCACAAAAGATTAGTAAATAATAGCAGACCCACAATGGAGGTGGCTTCACCCATAGGGTATCTTCCTCAGTCTTGATCTGGGATGCCACGACTTGGTCCTCAAAAAACAAAGAGAAGTGTGTGAAAACTGTTTTGGAATCTGGAGTGTCTTGCTATGCTGAAAAGGTCTTGAACTGTGTACAAGAGATAGGTGACTAACAGCTGACCTGTAATGGAGTCAGCTTCACCTGTAAAGTCTCTTCCTCAGTCTTGATCTGGGATGCTAAGACTTGGTCCCTAAAAAACAAAGAGAAGTGTGTGAAAACTGTTTTGGAAACTAGACTGTCTTGTTGCCTCAAACAGATCTTAAACTGTGTACAAGAGATGGGTGACTAAAAGCTGAACTGCAATGGAGTCAGTGTCACCCACTAAGTCTCTTCCTCAGTCTTGATCTGGGATGCTAAGACTTGGTCCTCAAAAAACAAAGAGATGTGTATGAAAACTGTTTTGGAATCTGAACTGTCTTGCTACACTGAAAAGATCTTGAACTGTGTACAAGAGGTAGGTGACTAACAGCTGGCCTGTAATTGAGTCAACTTCACCTGTATAGTCTCTTCCTCAATCTTGATCTGGGATGCTAAGACTTGGTCCTCAAAAAAACAAAGAGAAGTGTGTGAAAACTGTTTTGCAAACCGGACAGTCTTGCTGCGTGAAAGGGATCTTGAACTGTGTACGAGAGATTGGTGACTAATAGCTGAACTGTAATGGAGTTCAGTGCTTGAAATTAGCGGTCATCCAGTCATCCGAGACGACCAAAAAGTTTGCCGGGCAACCAATTTTTAGGAAAATTAAGAGGCTGGTTGTCCGGGGAAAAAAACAACAGACAACCCAGCCAAAAATAGAAAATAAATTAACCATAAACAGCACCTTACCTACGTGACGGTTTTGTTTTGTCAATGTCCGGTAGTGTCAAGTTAATAATAATTTGCCTCAGCTAAGCGTTCTCCTGTGTTTTGGATATCTGTAAATTATATAAAACATTGCCAGGTACAAAAATGTAATAGACAAACACAAAGTTTCTTGTCTGGAGGCGATCAAGATCAAAGATGCCATTTTGAATATGCCACAACTTTTCTACCGGGCAACCAAGGATTCATCAGGGCAACCAAATTCACGGCTTTGATTTCCCGGCTTTTTAAATAGGGACAACCTGGATTTTTTTTTAATTTCGAGCACTGGGAGTCAGTGTCATTTGTTAAGTCTCTTCCTCAGTCTTGATTTGGGATGCTAGAACTTGGTCCACCAAAAAAAGAAAGAAATATGTGAGAATTGTTTCTGAAACTTTACTGTCTTGCTGTGCTGAAAAGATCTTGAACTGTGTTCAAGAGATGGGTGAATGATAGCTGACTCACACTGGAGTTGATTTTACACATAAAGTCTCTTCTCTTTCTTGATCTGGAATGCTAAGACTTGGTCCCCAAAAAACAAAGAGAAGTTTGTGAAAGCTGTTTTGGAAACTGGACTTTCTTGCTGCACTAAACAGATCTTGAACTTTGTACAAGAGATTGTTGACTAACAGCTGACCTGTAATAGAGGGGGCATTGGGGTCTATTAGAAACTGGAAAACTGTAAAAAGTCACCCCAAATCGCTATAGACCGCAAAAAAATATGATCAAAACTGAAAATGCATGCAAAATGGTCAAAACTGATAAATTTTCAACTCCCAGTTATCAAAACCCTAACTGACCCACAACAGTGGTGACAAGTAGAGTACATAAAGATTTTGTGGCTATTAGAGACCGATACAATCCCAAAATCAATATTATTGTTTTCCCACTTTCATGAACAGTCATCCATTTTTTGCTTTGGTTTACATGAAGCAATTGAAAAGCCTATTCATTTAGTACTGATGACAGGTGTATTTTAGTTTTTGTGGGGGACAGGGGATTATTGTAAACTGTTGAAAATAAATTTTATATATTTTAGACTATATGGGAGGGGGGTACTTGGGTCAATTTTTGCTGGGTGTATGCTACTGGCCTCCCAGAACCCATACCCAATTATAGTCTATTCTGTGGCCAGTTGTACAATACTTTATTTCAGAACAACATGCAAATACATAGTTATTAAGGAAAAGGAAACCCAGAGGTTGGCCCTATATCAAGGGTCTCCTATTTATGTAAAAAAATCTTACAGAACTAGTTAATAAAAATATAAAAAAGTCAAATAAGACGCAGCTAAATATCAATTCTAAAATGATGATCAATAAATATTCATATGTTTCTTCAATTTTGATTTAAACTCACAAACGTTAGGGCTGTCACCAAAATTACATGTAAATACATTAATAGGAAGATTATTCCAGGGTATGATAATTCTGACAAAGAAAGAATTTTTGTAGCAGTTCAGTTTTGCGACTTTGAGTTGTAGTTTATATGGGTGGTTAGTATGATATTTTCAACACAAAAGTAAACGCTGCTTGCGAAAGTGTAAACCCAACTTGATCAAAAAGAGAGTGTTTCGGAATCGGATCGATCTTAAAAACATGTTCTTCACAATCTGACTCGCTTATCGCATTCACCTGTAACTTTTTTGCATTGTTTAGTACTGATTTAAAAGGTAGGCTTCTCGTCGTTTCGTGATTTTCTTGGCATCGTAACCTACAAGATCTTGGTCAAGTCTTGATATTGTTTAGAAAATTTCACAGAATCAAGAGCCAGTTCCTCATTGTCGGGAAAATTCGTAAGAACAACTCGACCAAATGATGACGAAGGGCTAACGCTCGAAACGTCAGCTTTTGTAATCGTTACGGTGGCCAATTTACCATTTCAACTTTGTTGATATATCCAAATTATTTCGTTACTCCCACCGACGCAGCCCCAAACAGTTTCTTTCGAAACTATCAGCCTTTATTCAAATGATGTTTACACTGCCCTTTGATTTTTTTTTTACGGATGAAATTGAGATAGAATTCGAATCAGCGATACTTGAACTATTTCTTTTGAAAACATCAACCACCATATTGCACCTTTTAGATTTGTTAGTTGTTAATTTTAGAACCAACTCTATACGCGATAACAATCAGATAATGATGAGAAAGTGAACTAAGTGTTCTGGCTTACAACATTCCGAGTATCAGAAAAAGTAGCAAGTTTAGGCGACAGGTTTAATTGTGTTCGAAACGCAAAATTCTACCATTCCAAGAGCTCCTAAAGGCTCTGGAGTTAAAGGTTAAGTTGAAACTTTGATGTAAAGTTAACCGGCAGAAAAAGAAAGACAGTCAGAGTACTTTGCAATTTGACGTTTAGTCCTTCGTGACCAAGATTCTTCGATTTTCGCTATTACATAGTTTAACATCAGAGTACAGTGTTATAATTACACAATGAGAAAACAAATCAATATACAAAATTAAATAAACGGCAAACTAACAAGCCGTTCCATTCTGGCATTATTTGCCATTGAGAAACTCTGCTTTTATTGATTCATGAGTTGAAGAAGTCATGGCAATATTTTTTTACACGCACTGACCACAGTTCACCACTGCTTGAGTTAATTCTGATTAATTTCATGTGCAAAGATCTGACTAATTTTCTGCCTGGAGTTATTAAATCCACTCAAGGGAAATTCTAATTTCGCGTCTTTCTTCGGTAGCTTCAGGACAAGAATCATCTCAAAGCCAGGGATGCCGACGTTCGTTGTTGATTTTCCAGGTTTCAAGGGTCGGGTCCCATCCTTATCAGTAATCATCACTGTATACTTGGTGTCGTTTTCGAAGGTGCACCATTTCTGTTCTTTTCTGGTTTCGGATTTGTCGCGATCAACCTGGGAATCAGCCTAACAGAACACAAAATAAGCTGTTACCTTTTCTACGTGGACCAAAAGAGCCGATTTGCTGCCGGAATGGTACGTTCCGTATACAGCCACAAGCCCTTTACATCAGTAATATGTTCAGCCTCTTCCGGGCTATGAATCAGCGGACAATAGCTACTTCATATAAGCAAGTGGCTCCTATAAGCAGTTGTCAAGATATGGCAGCAATAATCCGGCAGACTCGATTGCCATTCTTTGTCAGCTCGCTCTTTCCAATTTTAAGAATTTATGAAATGGTTATCCCCCACCCACGCTTTCGTGTACCTGGGGTTCATCTTGAAATGGTTGACCGAAGATGATAGACCTTTTGCATCTGCCAAGACCCATTTTATCTTCCATATTCTATAAAAAAAATAAACAAAATGAACTATTGAGATCTTTACCGTGACTTAGACTAGAACGGCTGATCTTGGCGCTCTCAAGGGGAGGTAAAACAATACTTGAAATTTTGCACAGATTTCATGATCACATGATTTCGATTAAGATTTGCAATTATAAAGCGCTTGTAGTTTTATTTTTCCAAAGATCAACATAATTGCACGAGGCCTTAGGGCGTAAAAATTGCATTCCGGGAAAAAAAATATTAAAGCCGCTTTTCATATCAGAGTACAGTGTTATAATTACACAATGAGAAAACAAATCAATATACAAAATTAAATAAACAAACTAACAAGCCGTTCCATTTCATGCAGATTCAAAGCACGCGAATCACGGGCTGAACTAACTTTCTGCAGTGAATGAATTCCCTTCTGCATTGTGTTACCGGGAAACTCAAGATGCGGTTCTGTCCTGGTGTACCGGTTCACAAGGGAATTACGATTGTTCTCTCTTTGTTTAGGAGTCATTGGTTGGCTGTTGTGTATTGTTCGGTCTTTTGTAACGGCTCTTGTGAACCGGTACACGAGGACAGAACCCAAGATGCGCTTTCCTGATTATTGAAAAGAACGACTAATGTTGCAGCTGAGGTTGAAATGCACTTATACCGAGTCTTTTCTATTCTATGTTCCTCAAACGTTGTATTAGTTTTCTCCACGAATCTACCCTATTACTTTAATTTGCAAACTGATTTGAGACCGACGAAAAGACAATACTCTATTTTACAATTGTGTACTTGGTTGCCAAGCCTTTTAACGGGAGTGAGGCTAGGGGTGACCTTGTTGTGATACAAATCTTGCTGCTTTTCGAATGTAAATCGCTTTGTTATCATGCTAACTAAAGGTCACCTTCAGCCTCACTCCAAATCAAAGGCTTGGCAACTAAGTACACAACTGTAAAATGGCTTATTGCCAAAGTGGTAGCTGAGGCTAAAATTAAAGTACCGTACGTATCTTTACTTTGTTATGTCCCTCAATCGTTGTACATTTGCTTTGGCGACGAATTTATCTTACTGCACCATGCTCTTGAAAAATTAAAAACGACAACTCACGGATAATCGCCTGACCCCTTCACTTTAATTAAATTTTAGGTTAAATTTGCTATATTTCGACAAACAGCTCTGTCAACTCGATGTAAGATCATACTGTTACTTATTTCTCTCTGTTTTGGCTCGATGCAAACGAGTAAAAATGCTTGGTCTCTTAATCTCCGTCTAAGTAGATTCTCAGCATGTTCTTTACTTCGCGGTCAATTTTTGCATCGACGCTCATGAAATATGTCCTCATAAAAAAGAGTTAGTGTGGAGTTGACAAAAACAAACACGCAATAAATTTATCGAATATCTTACCAACTCTTGATCTCTTCAGAGTACATCCACTGACAACAACTCGGCTGATTAATTGTAGAGCAAGTGCAGGTTTATATATTATCTTCGTTAAAGTATATTCCTGATTCTTTTGAACACCGGAACTCAAATCAACCAGCCGTGAAACAAACATCGACCTACTGCCCAGAGCGGTTTTGTCGTACTCCTACATTACTCCTACAATAGATGTTAGAATTAATGTTAAAAGATGAAGAAAGCTAGGAGTTGAGATGAATAGGGAGAAGGCAAGAAAAGAACTTTTTGTTGGTATCACGCTGATGCTGATACATGACGCAAAGAAAAAAAAACAACTGTTGCTATCAGTCAATCATTGTGTTATTGTCGGTTTTGGATTCGATCTTAGAACGACTAAGTTCTTGAAAGACGGAATAAACTACGATATTGGCATACTTTCTCATTCATGGCAGATCGTGTGATTTCGCACGATTTAACTCGACCATATTTTAATGGCTACAATGAGTGTTAGAATGTTGGAAGATTAAGAAAGAGGAAGGAGTTGAAGGAGGGCTTGAGCTGGATATGGAGAAGGAGACAAAGAAAATTTTATTGGTATCGCGCAAATACTGATACAAAAATAACCAACTGTAAATGCAATATTAAACAGAGAGTGTTTCTTTGAATTAGCCACCACATCACATCCTGTTCATTTCTGATTAACCCTGACAAGAAGCAATGACCGTTTTTGAAGGAACAACGCGGACGATTTTTTTTTTTCCGGGCCCGGCAAACTGGCACATTTGATCATTAACAATAGAAAATTCAGAATTGTTTTCGATAAGTTTAGTTGACCGCTGTAATAAAATTTTACAATCTGGTGAACACCGGAACTCAGACTTGACCAACCAGCCGTGAAAAAAGAAAAAAGAACGTCTACATACCGCACAAAAGCGGTTTTATTAAACTCAAGCTATCAGTCAACCGTTACGTTAGCAGCGGTTTGTGAATCGTTCTTACTATGATTAAAGTCTTGCAAGGCGAAAGCAGTGACATTCAGATAATTTCTGAATTTAAAACAGTGCATCGCGTGATCTCTCACGATTTGACGCAACCACTTTCAAGCAGCTACAACTGAGAATGTGATTTACCAAAATTTACCGGAAATGCGATAAACAATGATTATATGGCCCCTTCTTGCTTCAGTGTCATTTGTTTATTCATTATTCATTTATTCAATTATCTATTCTGAAGAAGGCTGGCTCGCATCCATTTTAACTCCTACGTACGTTCTGAGACCGTTTCAGTAGCAATGTTGCAGCAAGAACAGTATCCTGGTAAGTGTAATATCATGTTGATGGGGAGCGGAAGTATTTTTCACGCTTGCCTGGTTCAGTCCGCACTCGAGGAATGAGGAACCAAGTACAGAGACAAAAGTGAACATAATAAAGCGGCTTCCATTTTCCATTTGCTTTTGAGTTTATTGCCGGTTTACATTTGACGTAATCTACCGAACTCTAAAGCCTAAATTCTAAGACGGTATCTAGGGGACGTTTAGCAATTCAGATTAGGGAGCTTAAGCAACCACGACGACGAACGGAGGACGACGACCGGAAGTAGCGAGAACGTCACTCCGCAAGCGTGAACCAAGAATTCCGTCTTCGTCTTATCGTCGACGACTTGAGATGGACCAGATTCACGTCGTCGCGAACTTCTGAACTTCACAGCAGTTTTTCTCATCAAAAAGTGCGGCTTTACTGTCGTTTTTTTGACAGTCTACGGCCGGTTGGAGTTTGTATTCGCTTCTTCGGTTGATTTAAACCTCCCTGTTCAGTTTTCTACACAAATAAAATTCGAAAACCCACTAACTCATTTTCCTTCCTCTTCACAACAGATGTCAAGTCAAGCGGTGAAAGCGACCACGTTAGGTTTAAATTTATTTGAGTATATTTTATGAAAGAGTGCTGTTTATCATTTTTATTGAATGAAAAGGTTTAAATGGCAGTGCAATACACCTCTGCGTTCGGTCAAAAGCTGTGTGTATGGAACTGCCGGTTTATTGCTACTAAAAAATTTTGTGTGTCGCTGTTCTTCCGTCGAGACGCTTTAAACAGCAAAGAATTCTTCAGATCGGTGTGTCAACATGAG